TATTTTCACTCTCTGTGATTCTCACAGTGAACTAGAATTCGAGCAAGCGGTCACCTCAGCAAAATGAAAACTTTTTTGTTCTCCATTTGGATTCTGGGACAATAAATGTACATCTCACTCCTGAGAGGACAGTTTGGAGAAAGCATTAACTTGTTTTCAAAAAATAAATAAATAAATAAATGGAAGCAAGTGACTGTTAACAATTTTAGAGACTGCAAGGATTGATGGCAGCAGCATTAGTAGTGATTCCTTTGGTGATTCCCATACAGTTCAGCATCTTTGATCTTCATCCAGAACAGGACAGGAGAGGGATACTGCTTTTGCCTGGAGGGACAGGGACTTCATTCTCAGAGGAACCCCACTGGGGAACCTTCCTCAGTAATCAACTCAGATACATTGCTGACAGGCTGGGGAGCCATCTGGGAACGTAGGACAGAGAGGGGCATGTGGGAACCCCCTTGATCGTCAGAACATATTAATGTACTCTGACTGAGGGCTAATTTATCTTGCTTCCAGGGGTTTGTTGCCACTCATACATCACAACCACGTGCTGGTGTGAATAGACAGCACTGCAGTGTGCCGTATAAATCACTGTTGTAACGATCTCTGTGCTGCCTTCAGGTGGCAAGAGAGCTGCCAACTTGGGTGTGGCCTCAACTGATCCAGCAGACTTTGATGAGTCAGCACCAATCTGTGCCTACATGCTGTGTCACGAGAAGTATTAGAATACATTTCCTCTAATTTCCCAAGTCCACCAGTTCGGTTTCTTCATGCTGGCCAGATTCAGCCAATGAAATGACACCTGTAGTAATTGAAGTCTTGAGTAGATGTTCTGGTGCAAATAGACTTTAAATTTGGCATCCCTCAAAGCTGGAGTTTTTTTTTCAATAGGGGCTCTTCTTGTTTGAAAAAAAAATCACAGTTAAAAGAACTCTATGAGAAGGTGCTCCCTTATTCGCTTATTTAGCAATTTCATGAGCATTTGTGCTCAAACACTAGTTTTAAGTCTTCTTTTCTGTTCCCCTTGAAAAATATATAGAGTAAAATTAACTTTAATATGCTTTAAGATGAAAATAACTGGTGATTGACAAGTCGTTACTGATACATGGACATCTCTGGTTCTTACAGATCTACCCTCATTCTTCTGAGAAATTTGTTTTTGTTGTTTTAATTATTGTGGAAAGTAGAAGTAAATCACAATAATTTTGTGTTCATTAAAATGTATTTAGATATTGCAAATTGATGATAATTCATCCTATTTGTGATGACACACTTCTCTTCCCTACATAAGCTGCCTTTGTAAGTTAAAAGTATCAGTATCTATATTCGTATCTGCAATACTGGCCCTATACAGTGGAACTCCGACTTACGAAATTAATTCGTTCCAGAGGGTCTTTCTCAAGTCAAAATTTTCATAAGTCGAAGCACCTTTTTCCATCGCCTTTTGAGTGAGGCGATGCTGGCTGAAGACGAAGTTCTTGGTGGAGGCTGAAGAAAGCATACGTATGCATGCATACATACGTACGTGTACATGTACATAACATTATGGAATTTAATTCTAAACTTTAAAACTTAAACTTACATTTACGTTAATTAATGTACGTACGTACACTGTGCAATGATATTTTTTTTAACATTTTTTTAAACTCGCTCATATTTATGCCTTATGCCGGCCCCATTATGAATGAATGAACGATAGGCTAATTGCAAACGAAAAGCACACGAAATAGCGCACCGCAACAACAATACGTCTTTCACGTGGAACAGCGAAACACATTTCGCAAACGGATTTTGTTACACGGGCATTTTGTCATACCACGGGCAAAAATATTGCCATTAAGTGCCTTCGTAACTTGAATTTTTCGTTAAATGGGGTCTTTGTAATTTGCAGTATCCAACAGCACTATCATTAAAACAGATTTTTGTTCCATATTATCCAGACCTTGTCTAGACTATGGACTATTGAAAGATTTTACAGAATAGATGAGCATAGATGTGCAGTTCCACTGTGAGGTTCAGAAATTGTAGATTCTTTCATTCCTCAGGACCCTTTAGTATCATTCTAATTATCATGTGCTGCCTCTTGGCCAGGACTCCCTTGAAAAAGAGGTTTTTGATCTCAACGGGACATTCCTGGTTAAATAAAGGTTAAATAAAAAATAAATAAAAATCCTTCTAATGCATTAGTAATGTGATGCAGCCTAATTATCTCAAAATCAGTTGCACTCATAACATGTCCTTGTCTTTGCAGACAAGCAGAATAAGTGTTTCTTATGTGGAGGCATGTTTCCATGCCTGTAGTTTAAGCGGATGCTTGTTCAGATTTTCAACTTTAAAATAGTCCAACATTATGCTGACCTGCAAAGCTGAGACGTGAGACCTGTCCACATTTGAAATTTGAGGTTTGGGAGTATAGAAGGGGGTATAGAATTTTGATGCATACCTAGACTTGTCACCTCTTAATCCCTTTCAATGCCAGATTTAGAAACACTGTCTCCACATAATGTCGGCTAAACCCATGGCATCCTCACTCCTTTGCTGTTTAGTGCTGATATGATGACAGTGCAATACTTCAGTTTTCTGTTTTATTATCCACCTGTGATCATAAGAACATGTTTTTGCCTTTTTTTCTCTAGATTTTTGGATGATTTTAGGAGAAGCATTCCTCTCTCTACCCTGTGTATATTGGTATACTGCATCATTTCTTTGTCTCTCTCCTAATTTCTCTATATCACGTATATCATGTTGCCATAGCAGCACTTTTCCTCTTCTTTCTACACTCAGTTTTTATAGGCATTGGTGAAAGAACAAAAATACTTTGTCAATTTGTTATTTGTGGATATAATAATTCAGTCTTCATTTGCTGCACTTCTCCAGTAACCATTTCAGGTCAAGGCTTTTTAGTGTCATTGTGTAACTGCATTGCACTCAAGCTGATGAGTGCCATCAATATCTGTGTGAGCATGCACTCTGAAGCCACTGATTGTTCTGTTCTTGTCTGTTCTGCTCAGCCAATAATTAGTTCCCCCATGCATCCTCCTCCCTAGACATGGGGTAAGGAGAGCAATTTTAAAGACTGCTCAGCTTGACATCAAACTGTAATTCACTGAAAGCATGTAACTATTACACAAAATGGCACCGTAGACCCCTCCAACCCCCGTCTTCCTGTTGAAATGGCAAAGAAAGAATTGTTTTGCAAAAGAAAGGCTGAGGATTCGTTTGCTAAATGCAGCAGCGGCCAGTGGCGGGACCAAAGGGAAAGGCCAGGTTTACACACTTGTCTTTTCAATGTGACTTTTGTGCTTGATAGCACAGAGCCAAAGTCATGTCAAACTGATGCCTCCATGCGTGACATTCTAATGCCATGAGATTTGTTTCCACTCCACATCCGTAAGAATTTTGGTGCACTTTTTTTCTTTCTGTGCAGAGACTGGTATAGTTTTCGTTCCTCCTTTCTCTCCACTCTGTACAGTGTGGGCGCTGAGTAGGCTTTGAGTGACATTCCCCTTATTATCTAGGTTGTAACCAGTTGAGAGATTTCAGTAAATGTCATTGGTCAAAAACATTAATAAGTAAGATAATGAAAAGTGGTAAATAATGTTTCAGTGTGTTACCTGTCTCTTGTGTTTTTCTAGTTATTTTTAAAGACTCCAACAAGGTGTTCTGATTGTGCAACCTTTTATTTGCTTTTAATTGACCCACCAGGCAAATTATGTACATTGATCTTTTTTTACATTAAGCTTCTAAGATTACCCTTTTTTCTTTCCGTTATTCAGTAACGGCATGCAGCAGCTGATGTTAAGCAATATCTTGGCATGCTGGGCTGTGCCTGCAAAAAAGGGTGATTATTTACTACACAGTTCACAGTGCTGTAATTGTAAACTCTATTGAAGTTGTAAATACAGCACCTTCTTCATTACTGTCACTTGGGAAGTTTCTGTTTTTGCACATTTGGCCTGCTGCAGACATTATTTACCTGGCTTATTGTCAAACAGAGATTTGGTCACACATATGGCTCCAAAAATGTGTAATAAAAAAGAAAAAGCGAGAAAACGAGAGGGCAATAGAAAAGGAGACATTTTGTTTCATGCACAACTTTAGTTCATGCTTCGTTGCCTGGCTTACAGCAGTGGAAGGTCGATAGAACATTAGCAACTGCCGCTGAGGAATGGTCAGCAACACATCTTGTTTACGACGTCGTGAAAGTAAATGGATTTGTTTGGGTCTGCACCTAATTTGAAATGCAGTAATGAAGCAGTCTGTTACAATGCAGCTGCCAGCCCTCACAGGCCAACCAACAATGGGGAAGGTTCCCGCTTGGGTTTTGATTGTATAGTACTGAGTATATTACTGCTGGACAAATTGCATCACAATTCTCAGAGCTGTTCTGTTTTATTAGACCCAAAATGCTATGGCACACTGCTGCTGTGAGGACTTTTAAATTGTCGTTATATGTAACACGTTTAACTGTGTGTGAAGTCGTTGGATTTTGTTCGCTCAACAGAAAAATGTAAATTACAGTAATTTACCTTCACAGGTAGCCTAGCTGATTTAAATAAAAAAACAAACAAGCATATATTTAATATGTTCAATTTCAGCCTCACGAGTTTTTAAGTTGTCTGTTTAGAATTGTTAATTTTTCAAAGGAGAAACAAAATTGGATTCAGGAGTATTCACAGGGGATGCTGAACCTCCATTACTGGAGGTCTGAGTTTCCCTTGAACTTGTTTTATTTTAGCTTGTGGAATCTAAAAAGTGCATCCTGTTTGTATTTACAAAAAATAAATAAATATACAGATTTATATAACATATGACAGGTTTTTGTGGATGCCATCACATAGTTCAAGTTCATAAAAAAAACTCATTTCTTATGTTCCATGTTTGAAAGTGAGGTTTCTTTTTTCAGGGGGCATCTTATTTCATGCTGGTGTAAAGGATGTGGAAATGTTATGAATTCAGTCATGCATTCAGTTCTGAGGTCTCTTTTTCCTATTCTACAGGTTAACAGGATTTACCATCCCTCCACCTGTTACCAGTTCTGGCTCTATTTTTTCCCTGAGGCTTACCAGTGACTTTGCAGTAAGCGCTCATGGATTTAAGGTAGCTTATGAAGGTAAGGACAGCATAATTTTCTGCTCTTTGTCTCTTCCTGTCATTCTTTCATACATAGTATGGCAAAAAATGTGTGTATTAATGTGTAATATGCAGTGTTAGAAACTATGATGAAGTAGCTGTGTTCATTTAGAAGAAAAATCCTTCTGCCAGGAGAAGGAGGCAACATTTATTCTTACGAGAAGGAACCTGTGATCACACTTACGGCACCTGATTTCCTTTAGGGCTTCCACTGTTGAGTTATGGAAACATTAGGCTCTTCAATTAAGCAAATTAATCCAATATTTTCCAAATCCAACATCCCTCCCCCAAAGTCCAGAACCTTTCCTGCGACTCCAGAGGTGGATCTGAAATTGCTTGGCAGATGGCGATGGGAATTAGTTGAACTAATGGATGCACTGAGTTATCTGTGTTGGAGCAGAGCTGAGTGCAGCGGGGAGCTGTCTAAATATGAGCAATCCTTCTGTGACCATCTTGTTCATTCCTGCTCTTTTCCCCGTCTGCTGTTTCAGGTGAAAGCGTTCATTCATCCATCTCTGTGTCTCGTTCTTTTTCCATTCTTACTTTACGTTTTGTCTTAATGTTTTCCTTTCCTTCCCTCCTTGGGTATCAACTTGTTCGCTTGCCTAGTCCCCACGACCTTCTATCTGTACAGCCAATTCGAAAAAGTTGAGATGCTGTGTAAAATGTAATTCTGTAATTTGAAATTGATGGCAGCACCGTTTCTTAAAGAAGTTGGGACACAGCCATGTTTACCTCTTTAGTCTGGAGGACATGATGTTTGTGTTTTCTAAAATGAATTTCAAATAGTCCATTTTTAATGAGCCTTGGTCCAGAAAGACAGCAACATTTCTTGATTATGTTCACATATGGCTTTTTCTTTGCATGTTAAAGCTGTGACCTGCATTCGTGGATGTCACAGTCAGTGTCACAGATGTCACAGGAAGTGTTTCTGAGCCTATTCACTGATTTCACTGACGGAATCATGCCTATTTTTAGTGCAGTGGTGCCGAAGTACCCGAAGATCATGTGTTATCGACACTGATTTCCAGCCTTGTCCCCTGCACACAGAGATTTCTCCAGATTCTTTGAATCATTTGGTAATATTATGCACTTTAGATGATGTGATCGTTAAAGTCTTCACAATTTTACACAGAGAAACATTATTCTGAATTAATTTTTTTCATGTTTATTATTTTTTGTAGATCGATTAAACTCTGTCCATTTTAATGAGTAACTCTGCCTCTCTTTTATTATCCCATTACTGGACTGTTGCCAGGTAACCTAATTAGTTACTCCAGCTGTCTCCTTTTTAGTACCACTTACTTTTCCATCTCCTTGTTGTCCCCATCCCAAATTTTTTGACCCAGGTTGCTGCCATAAAATTCAAAATGAGCTAATATTTTCATGAAATTGTAAAGGTCTAAATTTAAGCAGTTATTTAAATAGTTATATAAACAATATGTTTATGTCCAGTTTTGGATAAATTGGGTTCATGAGATTTGCAAATCACCGCATTGTGTTTTAAATAACATTTTACACAGCATCCTGACCTTTTTTTTTTTTTTAACTTGTGTTATATTTGTTTCTTTAGCTTTTTTGCACTCTTCTACACTCTTTTTTCTTACTTTCTGCTTGAATCGTTCACTAATAGGCTGACCCCGTCCTTGAGACCCTCTATCTTCATCTTCCCACCTGCCCCAGACCTAGCCAGTCAAGGTCATTTCCCCTGTCCATCTGCCACTGAGACTTTCTCCATCTTTACTCTTTCTGCCTCTTTTTTTCCTGAGCTTGACTGCATTTCCTTTCCTGCATCAATTTTTTTGTGTGTCTCTCTTGCTCTTCCCTGGGTGGTTTGGTTGTATTCCAGTTTCTGCGTGTTTACTCTCCAACACAATTTCATGCTGATGGGGATATTTAACACATCGTTACACATAAGGCACAGCTTTATTCCTGTTTTCTTAGCAGCACTGTAGTTAAAACTACAGTTGAGAACATTTGCAAACATGTACAATAGGCAACATAATATCAAAGCGGTTTATTTCATTTCGTAGCTAGTACATTAATCAGGAAAATGTTTCGTTTGAAAATTTTACACTCTATGTTTCACTGTAACATGCAGTGTAACATTGAGTTTGTTAGGCCTATCACTCATTCTTTAATGGCTCATTGTGGCAATGCTGTTTCTCAAAAATATCAGTGTGTTTTTTTAAATCATCTGCTGGTTTAAAGTGTGTAACTGAGAGCACGATTTGAGAGGACCAGTTAGTATGAAAACTAATCCTGGTCCCGTCATTCTATCCTTCATGTAGTTGTCAAACCTTTGAAACAAGAATTCATTTCAAGCCTTTAACCTAACACTAAGCACTTGCTTTACATGCCTAAACCTAATCGCTGTTAGTTTACGGCCATGTTGCGCTGTTTTGATGCACTCATCTGTGACTTAACATCATAGCCTTGAGGTGCACTCTTCCGCCTCCTCTGCCTCATTTGGGCCTCATTTGGATGTTTACTGATCTACTTTTTGTCCATTGGGCAACACGCAATCTAGGAAGACTTGAGTGACACGTGGTGGCCTGTGCCCTGCCTTTGAACCTACTACTCCAAAACTACTACTCCACCAAAAAATGTTTTGTTGGAATAGTAGTTTTTCTAGTCAGAGATTCTTATGAGTGCTACATTTAAAAAAAGTTCAGTGTACTCCTCCATAATGTATTCATTTTCACATCTGAGTATCTGTCACAGTACCATTGTTCCTTGTTATATTGCTGTGGTTATCCACACTCGCACATGAATATGTATGTGCTGCTCATTCTTATGTTTTAAAATGTGTTATGATAGAATTATTATTGCAATTAAGTGGAACTGAATCTACATGCATTTGAAGGACACGACCAGATGGAGATGCTGTCAGTCTTTTATATAGTTTCCTATAATGCACAACAATCCATCAAACATTCTCCAGCAACCAGTGGTTTTATTTATTTATTTTTTATTTGTCGTGCCTACTTTCTTGTACTACCACAATTCTGTCAGAGTGACCTTTATGCTTACTCACGGCCTGGAAGGATCATGCTGCATTTATAAGGGAGTGGAGATACAGGCTTTTTCTACAACACTGCTAAACAATGGCCACTAGTGCTTTAGAGATACAGCAGTGCATTGTACATATGCTGGTAGCAAAGGTATCTGCTTGCCCTTTGTTGCAGGGAGTGTGTTTTCAACAAAACAAAACAAAAAGTATTTGTGTGCTTGTCTTAAATCTTTCCCACTGGCATTTTATCCACCACTGTTGTTTGAGGACTCTTTGACGGACAGCTGACCCATACAATGCAATTTCATCTTGTCCCCCTGAATCATTTCATTTGTGTTTCATTTGTGTAGCAATCCAGATTTTCCACTGAGTTGGACATATATGTTTGTATGTCTGTGCATGTCGATGTGTTATTTGCTCTGTGATCCAACATGGCTTTAGTCAGTGCTCTTTTCCACTCCTGCATAAAACAGCTCAGCTCGGCAGCCTGCTCACAGGCAATCTACCCAGGCGATTCCTGAGGGGAAAGTATGCTGCATGTGTGCTCACAAACACTGCCACTCCGTCAAACTTCCATCTTCTTCAAAGGGCTACACAGTCATTAGATATACAAGGGGAAAAAATAGCACAGCCCAAGAGAAATCTCGCACCCAACTACCCCATTTGCTATTTCACATAACTCACTTGTTACCACTGTGATGAGGATAATGCAAGCCCTTCTCATTGTCTTTATGTGAATTTTAAGCAAAAACTGAACAGGAGTGTTTGCTATGAGGATGTTCTGGTCTTTTGTCGTTTTTCTTTGTTTTGAAATACATTTGACATATTCTGTTAACATTATTGTAAAGAAGAAATAATTTCCCCTTTTTCCTTAGACTTTACATATAATTCTGAATTTATTTCGCACACTGGGCAATGCTTTGTTAGGCTAAAAGACCTCAGTTTATAAGGTAAATTTGCATTCACTGTTCCACCAAAAGTCAAGTCTGCACAGGTTTTCATGTTTAGCACAAGCCCCCAGTGTTGGGGAGCAGCTGTTTTCACAAGGTTCGGTTCTATCAACAGTTTATTTAAGGCCCTCCAGACAGCACCACTTGTTAGCTAAAGGCTAACACTGCATCTCACACACTTAATATCTTTAGGGGGTTCTTTAAATCCTCATAAAATCTGAAACCCTGATTCAATGTTACGTGCGGGCTCTTATTCAAAGTACTACTTTCTTTTCCTACAAATTTCCGTGTGGTTACATAGCGAGCAGGTTTTAGTACTTTTTCCCCTTCATGTGATAAAAGACTTTATCTAAAGCAACAGCTTCAAATATCTGCAATGTGTCCTGTGAATTCATTCAAGGGCTACATCTGTCTGACACATTAGTTATGACTTTCCATACACCGAAGGGCAGTGAGTCAGTGCGGGTATAATTATAGTGGGGATGCATCTATTACTTTTTAATTAGTGACCTGGGGTTACTTTTTCAAAACATTTACTTTCGAGAAATAGTCCTTTGTTTCACTCTGTAGTTCTCTTAAAGAGAAGTCTGGATTAGATTGCCTGAAATTTACCCTAAGCAAGTTTCAATGGTATATTAGTCTGTCGTGTTTTTTTGTTTAGTTTTTATTTTTGCTCTTACAGAGAATGGGCATCAGACCTGTGAATCTATACATCAGATCCTTTAGCAACATTGAGCCCTGAATAAACGTCTACAGTTTTTTTTTACAATACAATAAAGTTGAATACTTTATCTAAAGCTTAAAAATGCTTGAAAAAACATTATATCCTTGCAAAAGAAATCAATACAAGTCCATGAGAAGTTATTGAGGAGAGTTACATTTCTTATAAAATGTAATGTCATCCTGAAAAATAATTTCATCACATTTTTATTTGGCTGAGTGCGGTCTGCCCAATGTCCCAGCAACATCTGGTAGCTGAAATTAAAACTGGCTCTGTTCAGGCGCAAACTGAGGTTC